AAGAATTAAGATAGATGTTTAAGAAATTGGCACGTCACAGATGCAACATGTTATCCAAGGTAAGCGCTAAACACAAGGGGTGTCTATTCATCACCTTGCACACATAATCACCAAGAAAGACTGGACATGCACTGAATCTAGACCTGGGCATTCTTAAGAAACCCAACAAAATCTATATCTCAGAGTGCATCTTGCACTTAAAAAGCCAAAGTAGTTCCCTTCAGAAGATGAAACCGATTTAGTTAAATTAAAAGGAACTAAAGGCACTTGGTAGAAACTAAGAATAAACAGCTTCCATATGCAGGAAGTCTCAACTAAATGAAAACATCAGGAAACAGGGAAACTCTTGGCATCTCTGCTACTGATTAAGCAGCTATCCGCTTTATTTGTTTTGATTTTTTCCCCCATTTTATGTAATCCCTGGCAAAGGCACTGTGGTTTATTGCTTTTGGACAGAGAAAGAAAAATATTTTACAACATTTCAGTTGAGTCAATTAAACAATAAAAAAAAAAAAAGATTACCCACTAACTATCTAATTGCACAGTTGAGTTTTTAAGTGAAAAAGAAAACTTACATCGACGGTGCAAAGCACATCATTAAACCCCCACACATGATTCGAAGAACAACAAAGAGCCTTCAGAACCCCCAGCCATTCCGAACTAAGAACGGTGCAGCAAGCCGTCAGTTCAGAGGAGAAATTGGCTATATCGTTAATTCTAGGGGGAAAAAAAAGTAACATACAAAGAAAAAATAGTTATGAGAGACACTTAATGAACACATATTTTACTATCATTGAACAAGTTGTTCATTTTCTCATATTCAAGTCCATTATAAACACCCGCTTGTCCAATAACTCAGCCTTTAAACAGAAGATATAAGTAAATGGCTTCAAATGTTTTCTGGCAATTTACAGTGCTAAGGAACACATAATAATAAGTACAGATGTGAATTAGGATATCTACAGTTCTATGGACAGGTCCAATATACAACTCTACAGTTTAAAGGGCATCGAAACATTTAAAGCCACTACATAATTCAGGTAGGCTCAAATACAGGTTATTTTTTTTTCAAAATATAGGTATTCACTATTTGCATTTTACTTATTATAAGTTTTAGAAAAAATGGGTCATATAACTTATAGGCTATATTGAAAATATCTCATGCCTGAGAAATAAGTCACAATGTGCTGGGTCTCAGGTTAAGGAAATTATAGAACAGAGATATACTGAGAAATGAAAGACTGAAAAAGACAAATGTGTACCAAACATTAACCCAGACAGTGAAGATTTTAATTTCAAATGACACCAAGACAACAACGTGGTTAACCACACCCTGCAGGGTGACCTATCTCACCTTCCAGCATCCTGGTGGCCCATACATACATTCATGAGTGTATTGCAGACAAAGCTGTAGCGATTGGCCGCGTTGTCACTGAGGATCTTGCCCAGCATGGAGTAGTTGATGCTGCGGGCTGAGGGATTCTCGATAAAGTCCATCATGAAGTCTGGGTCCCACCGCAAGTTAGAATTTGCAGGCATCACATTATTATATATGGTTTGCTTTACTTTGGAACAGGCACTACTGAGGTTACAAGAAGAAAAGTTAAAAAAAAAAAAAAAACACCTAGGATAACGGGGAAACGATTTCACTGAAGACACGTTCAGTGGCAACAACTGTAATGCATCCCAGAGAGGATTCCCAAGATGAGTTTTTAACTTCAACTTCTAACTCATCAGCACTGCTCAGAGTACCTGCAATGCAGCGTTAGCTCAATTCATAGTTGCCGCATGGGAAGAGGAACGGCATTCACAAAGCTAGGGGTCTTCTGTGGTTGCCGGTTCTTTGAAACATCTTGTCACATTTTCTATCTAACTTTTCATTCATTCTCACTTAGCAAGGGTTCTTAACCTTTTTCAATTTCACACCACAAATGAAGGGAAAACAAACAAAACAAACTTTGCCCTTTTCTAGCTCCCTTCCCGATACCACATCAAGGGGCCTCTGCCTCCCAGTACCCGGGGAGCATCTAAAGAAACAGACTTTGGCAAACTGTGAAGCATTACCTCTTTCTTATTCTTCTCACTTAATTAACCGCCTATCCATGTCTGACTCTGAAAACCTAAAGAATTCTGCTTTTCACTTGGGAGGCTGAGGCAAGAGAATCACCCAAGCCCAAGAGTTTGAGGTTGCTGTGAGCTGTGACGCCTCAGCACTCTACTGAGGGCAATAAAGTGAAACTCTGTTTCCAAAAGAAAGGAATCCTGCTTTTCCGTTTTAATTTTGTTGTAAGGTTGGCCCTCACTTTTTCTTTCTGAATATAGTCTCCTCTACCGTTGACTCTCCACCTCCAGCATGGATCATATAATTTCTGAGAACTCTCTGGTTCAGTCGGTCACTTCACACTTCATTTCTAGGCTTCCTGTCTCATTACACTCTTCCCGGATAAACTTTTATGTTTCAATAAAAATTCAGCTGCCACCTAATCATGTTATAATTCTTACCACTCTCTGCTGCAGGCACATATGGAATTAAGCTAATAACTGAAATTTTCCTTTGGAAATTGCACTCATCAGAAAAACCTGGTAGAGTAATGAAAGGCAAAAACGACTTGTGCTAAAGCTTCCTCATCTATGAACTTAACAACAAGTAAAAATCTTTGTCGATAGAGAAAATCTTTTCTATTTCCTGGGGCTGATGTAAGCGTTAAGGATCTTGAGGGAAATAACCCAGCACAGTGCCAGGCACCTAGCAGACCTCAATCGATTGTAGACATGCTCAGGGCTGTATTTCCCACAAATATTCTGGTCACACATCTTTTGGGTGTTTTAGATTTTAAAGACTATAAGTAATTTTTTAATAATATTCAACTGGCAACCTCTCTGCATATGTGGCTTTTGTTTGGTTGTTTTTTTCTTAATCCAAAACTACAAACAGGGGCCTGACTTCACTATATTCTAAAAAGGGGGCATTTCTCTTCCCTTTTACTTTTTTCAATCAAGGAAAGTTTAGACAGTGCCAACGCCTATGCAGTGCCACCCTGCTGACCCCAAGTAATTTCTCAATACACCGTTGGTGCTCTACATCTCCACACACCCAGGGCATGTCACTTGAGTTGTCATTTAACCTGTTTGCGCCGCGCTGCAGAAGTATTAGGGGTCAAACGGGTTATTGTGGGGAAGTTCACTAGTGAAAACAGACTCTTGGGCCGGGCACATTAATCCCAGCACTCGGAGGCCGAGGTGGGTGGATTGCTTGAGCTCAGGAGTTCAAAACCAGCCTGAGTAAGAGTGAGACCCTGTCTCTAAAACTAGCTGGGCGTTGTGGCAAGTGCCTGTAGTCCCAGCTACTCAGGAGGCTGAGACAACAGGATCACCTGAGCCCAGGAGTTTGAGGGTGCTGTGAGCTCTGACACCATGGCACTCTTAGCAAGGGCAACAAAGTGAGGCTGTCTCAAAAAAAAAGAGAGAGAGAGAGAGATACAGAAGTGCAAAAAAAGCTTCTGTTCCCAAGAAGGTTATAGTACAAGGAGGAGTCAGATGATAAATAAATAAACATGGGGGAGAGGGACAAGGGGAACAAGTGCTAAGGTTCAGAACCAGGGAGGGAGGAGAGGTGAGATTTAAAATGGGGTGGTCAGGGAGGCAGAGTTGTGAATGGAGTGTGAGAGTGACCGTGCAAGTAACTGTGAAAAAGTATCACAAATAGAGTAAGAGCTGGGACTACACTTAGATTCCGTGAGGGCCAGTGAGGGTGTCCAAGTGGCCGGAAAGAAGCAAGCAGAGGAGAGAGGTAGGAGAAAGGGTTGGATGCTGCAGAGCCTGAAATCAGATAAGGACTTCTATTTTTATTCTGAGTAGATGGGAAGCCACTGGAGAACCGTGGAGTCATCCTTGTTTTAAAAGGAAGGCGTTAGTGGATGTGTTGACAGTAGACTCCAGAGCTGAGGGTGGAAACGGAGAAACCACTGGAGGCACTCTGCAACGGTCCAGACAAGAGACTCGGGGGTAGCAGTGATAGAGATGGTGAGAAGTGGTCAGATTCTAGATCAATGCGGAAGGCAGAGCTCGCAGACTGATAAATAAACTGGACGTGAGGTCTGAGAGAGCAAAGAAAACTGCAGCTGCTCACTCTTTCCTTACCTCCTGGATTTAAAATTTAAAATTTGTTTTGACAGGGAATACCTTCTCCCGCTTAACCTCCACTAATAATCTAAAATTTCTCAAAATAGTGTTCACTTTTCAGCACCTGGAATAACTAGGGCCAGTGTGCAACATAAAGAGAGAAGGGAAGACAGGGAGTTATTTAAGTGAGATGGTCGAGGAAGCAGGGAGAGAAATGCAGAAGTCAGCCTGGAAATAGCCCTGAAGGAATGCTCTGAGCAGGGGACACAAGTGCAAACTGCAAGCTAGCCTCACTCCAGTTTACCGCAAAATTCCAATCATAACTAAATATGACCCAGTAATAGACATACTGATTTGTGAAAGTTTATACCTACAGCAAATTCATACTGATTTGTGAAAGTTTATACCTACAGCAAAAAGGAATTTCATAAGAATTCTGGGTAAGGGGATTGACAAGATGAAATAATTCTATAATTAAATTTCTGACTCGTTAAGCATTAAAATGTCACTTAAGCAATAGAATTTGCTGACAGGAATAAAATTCAGGACCTGAGAAGGATAGCGTTTAAAGTCCAAGATGGCAAGTAAGAAGAATCGCAGTATCTTCTTATAATTAACTCACTTATGCTTTTTTCACACTAAAAAACACAAGACAGTATTTGTCAAGCTGAATTTGAATCACAAAAAATATGCAGTTCAAAGCAGGTTGTCAAACGTTTAACGTGCATTGATTTAATGTTTCTCAGCAAGGGTACCAGTCATTATTACAAACACTTAACTTGTGAAAAGGTGATTTAATAAAATAGTAAATTATTTTTCTTAAAAAAGAAGGAAAAGAGTAAAAACAATCTGGAAAACTGAATGACCCTATACAATCTTCTATGAATTACTCAGAAATGAAACATTATGCAACTTAATGATGCCGAGAGAATATTAAACCTAACCAAAGTAACGTAACAAGTCAGTTCAGCCGATGGGGCTATCAGAATCAAGAGGGATATAAATCCACCAAAACACAAAAAGCTGCGTTAGTGAAACTTCTACTACATTTAAAATGTAAAGATATGTCAAATAGTCACTACTTTAGTACGGCGCAGCTAAAATGTATTATGTCTGTAAAACATAAAGAGAATATAAAATCTTAAAAATAGTTTATGTGTTGAAGAAATAAAATTTAGTCTACGTTGGATAGTTTGTGTGCTAAAATCACTTCAATCTTGGACGAACAAAACCTATAATCATAAATTCATGGGCAGAACCTGTGGCTCAAGGAGTAGGGCGCTGGCCCCGTATGCCAAGGGTGGCAGGTTCGAGCCTAGCCCTGGCCAAAAACTGCAACAACAGCAG